CCTATTACTAGTATACTAATTACTTAATACACTTCAAATCATTTTATTTGCATTAATTTAGTCAGTGAGTATTAAGATAATTTATCAATAAAATTAAAATCACGTACATAAATACTTATTTAAGAAGATTTACTAACATTAATCAGTGAATTAAAATCATAAACATGATCCTTACCGTTACATATTTGTAAATACTTACTTCTAAATACTGTACATATTTAAATTATCTGCATAAATACTTATCTAAACACTTTACTTACAATTAATTACCTAATACTCTAAAATAGTATATAGTATAACGATGGTTTATTAAACGTTAGTCAGTGGAATTAAATCATGAACATATCTCTAAATAAACACTTTTTTAATGATTAACTGTGCCCTGACTGAGACAAAGTCATGGGAGGGCTATTATCATGATGATCAACACTTGACCATGCAGCATATCTGCAATATTAGTAATAAAAGCTTGGCGTAAAAAAGAAGAAAGTTGTGCTTTTCTTTCACTGTTTGTTGTGTGCCTGAAACAATTAGTTTCCAGCTTGAAGTATTTATAATCTAAGACTAATAATATATATACAGATATTTTACAAACAAGTTAAGTAAAAAAAAAAAAAACAAATAAATAAATAAAATGAAAACCCAACAGAGCAATTTTAAAAAACAAACATGACTATAGGATATCTTTGAACTATGCATATTACTAAACTTGGACTCCACCAGAAGCAAGGTTAAATTGATAAAGCATCTTGCAGAAACCAGAAAACAAAGTCAAAATCATATGCAAGAAACAGACATACACTCAATAGATACTCCAATAGGAGAACCCTCTGAACAAACAAATGAACCCTCTCTTATAACTGAATTTATATCAAGTCCTGCATCAGAAACTTCAAGTAACAAGGAAATTAGGGAGAAAAGATCTAACAAAAGACAAAAAAACACCAAGATGAAAGAAACAGAAATAAGGAAGCTACTGAAGGAGATCAAGTACCTTAGAAATAATAAATCGCAACGACAACCAATTATACTTTTTCTCTTATTCAACCCAAGTA